TGTAATATAACTATTGTTTTATACAATTATTTATTTATATTTTTATTATTTTCTCTGCTCACCCTTCCTTCTTAGATCTTCCTTCCTCGATCATTTTCTTTTTTGCTGAAGTGCGTCCTTTAGAACTTCCATTTAGGCCAGGCGCGGTGGCTCACGCCTGTAGTCCTAGCACTCTGGGAGGCTGAGGCCGAGGTGGGCGGATTGCTCAGGGTTAGGAGTTTGAAACCAGCCTAAGCAAGAGCGGAGACCCCGTCTCTACTATAAATAGAAAGAAATTAATTGGCCAATTAATATATATATAGAAAAAGTTAGCCGGGCATTGTGGCACATGCCTGTAGTCCCAGCTGCTGGGGAGGCTGAGACAGGATTGGATTGCTCAAGGTCAGGAGATTGAGGTTGCTGTGAGCTAGGCTGATGCCACGGCACTCACTCTAGCCTGGGCAACAAAGCGAGACTCTGTCCCAAAAAAAAAAAAAGTGAAAAGATTATAGCTATCCTAAGGGATACGAAGTAGTATCTCGTTGTTTTGACATGAGCCCGGTAGGAAGCAAGTGTGCCTCCTGTAGGACTGGACCTCAGATGGCCTGGTCTCTGGGAACTGTAGTCCTTGGGCAGGTGGAGGTGGGGCCCGCATGGGTTACTATACCATGTCTGGCAGGCCTCACTTCTCTGTGGAATTGTACCTAAAGGGCAGTGCTGCTTGGCAGAAATGTCAGGGAAATTCTAGCCTTGTGCATGGCCTGTTGCAACATTTCCTCCTTTAGGTTCTGTTTTCCAGTTACCTCTTCCCAGACCTGATCAAAGGGTCATAGCCAAAGAAGACATTCCTCTCAAGGAGAAAATATTCCCCAACCACCAACCTGCCCTTGTCAAACTGATAAATAAAAAGCAATTCCTGGGGCATAGGGGGAGGGGAGAAGAAAAAAGGATTCAATGGTTTCATTTTATTGGGGTGGGGGAAAATATTGCTATCTTATTTTCCAATGATAATAGAGAAATATGCATCTGATTAAGAGTTTGAAGGTAAGGTAACCATTATAAGAATGAAAAAGTATAGAACATCCAAATTACTAAGGGGAAAGATAGAATGCTCTAGAATTTGAGCACACCAGTAAAAATAAGAAAGAAGCAGCTACTCAGATCAGAAGAGAAAATGAAAAGCAAAATTACAAACTACCTAGAAGACAATGGAAAGAACACTTCATGTTAAAATCTATGAGACCTGGCCGGGCGCGGTGGCTCACGCCTGTAATCCTAGCTCTTGGGAGGCCGAGGCGGGCGGATTGCTCAAGGTCAGGAGTTCAAAACCAGCCTGAGTAAGAGCGAGACCCCGTCTCTACTATAAATAGAAAGAAATTAATTGGCCAACTGATATATATATAAAAAAAAAATTAGCCGGTCATGGTGGCGCATGCCTGTAGTCCCAGCTACTCGGGAGGCTGAGGCAGAAGGATCGCTTGAGCCCAGGAGTTTGAGGTTGCTGTGAGCTAGGCTGACGCCACAGCACTCACTCTAGCCTGGGCAACAAAGCGAGACTCTGTCTCAAAAAATAAAATAAAATAAAATAAAAAATAAATAAATAAAAGAAAATCATAAGGAAAAGAAAATATATTTACTGTTCGTTAAGTGAAAGTGGATCATCATAAAAGTCTTATCTGCACTGATATGCTGAGGAGGAGGAGGAGGGATTGGTCTTGCTGACTCCAAAGGTGACAGAAGTGGAAGAAAATCAGCATGTAAGTGGACCCATGGAGTTCCAACCTATGGTGTTCAAGGGGTATTCAATATGAAAAATTACTGAGCTATTTTACATTCCTTTTCATACCAGGTCTTTAAAATCCAGTGCATATGTTACTGTTATGGCACATCTCAGGCCACACTTCAGGTGCTTACTAACCACATGTGGCTGCTAGCTGCTATATTGAACAGCGCAGATCACGACGATAAGCCTGAGGCGTAGGGCACAGATCACTTAATGCCAAAATGGTGATACAGTCCGTTTGATTCCCTTAAATATTTCTACATTAAATTCTAATTCTGCAGTGAGAAGCTTACCTGCTAAGGAAGTATGTCATGCCAAACAGTATTATTGTTATTACCTTCCTGTCTACTGGGGAAGGAGGGCTTTTCAACATGATGACATTTCTTGATAACCAGACCCCAACTCTTGTTGCTGAACACAAACTCTAGATGGAGCCCTTTTCATAGCTCTCCATCAGTAACTGTAGCTTATAGATAGATCTAGTCACATAGCTTATGTCCTTAGATCCAAGATAAATATTCTGACTGCTCAGGGAAATCAGCACTGCCCTGCCAGGTGACTGCCTCTCTCAACTGAGTTTGCATTACCTTCTTGTCTAAATCTAAAGACTTTTAAACTTGACAGTGCTCTTTTGAGACTTTTTCCCCCCTTAGAGACAGAGTCTTGCTCTTGTCACCAGGCTAGAGGGTGGTGGCACAGTCATAGCTCACTGGGCTCAAGGGATCCTCCCTCAGCCTCCCAAGTAGCTGGGACTATAGGTGCTCACTACCACAGCTGGCTAATTTTTTTCATGTTTTGTAAGACAGGGTCTTGCTGTGTTGCCCAGGTTGGTCTTAAACTCATGGCCTCATGTGATCCTCCCTCTTTGGCTTTCCAAAGTGCTGGGGTTAGAGACATAAGCCACCATGCCCAGCTCTTTCTAGACACTGTCTTTTTAAAAATATAACATAAAATTTACCATTTTAACCAAGTGTACAGTTCTGTGGCATTAAACAAGTACTTTGACACTGTTGTACAGCCATCACCTCATCCATCTCCTGAGCATTTTTATCTTCCCCATCTGAAACTCTGTACCCATTAAACACTCTCCTTTCCCCTCTTCCCTCAGCCCCAGCTTCCACCATTCTACTTTCTGTCTTTATGAGTTTGACTGCTCTAGGTACGTCATATAAGTGGAATCATACATTCCATTGTGGCTGGCTTATTTCACTTAGCATAATGTCCTTAACTCATGTTACAGCATATGTCAGACTTTCCTTTTTAAGGCTGAGTGATATTTTGATGTATGGATAGACCACATTTTGTGTATGCATTCATCTGTCAGTGGATGTATTCTTTACAGTTGTGTCTGTGGCTGTTGTAAAGAATACGTCCTATATCTTTGGACCACAGCTCTATGTTGATATTGCCATTCATTGCCATGCTCTCTGGTCAAATTGTGTACATCCTCTCGAGGCCCTTTCTGACTTGTAGCTACAAGTTTTAAGGTCACTCTTATATCCTGGTGAGCTTCACCAAGGAGGTGCCATTTGTAGCTGGACCGCAGAGGATATCTGCAGGCTGAGAGAGGGGAAGGGTGTTCCAGATGGAGGGAGCAGCATGTGCAAAGGCACAGAAGCAGGAAGGGCATGGCACGTTCTCAGGAACCACACCTGAAAAGGGGTGGGGAGTGGTGATGGTGGGTTCCAAGAGTAGCAGGCTAGCTGAAGCCCTCAGCTATCAGGTCAAGGCACTGGGCCATTACTCCGTAGGCAGGGGAGAGCTGTTGGAGGATCTGGAGCAACAGGGAGATGGTTAGGTTTTCTTTTTAGATAGATCACCCAGATTGCAGTGTAGAAAATGCATTGGAGGCTGGGGGTCGGGGAAGGATTGGATGGACAAGAGAATTGGATTTAGTGTCTGACAGGATAAAGGGTTATGGGGCCAGGAGTCAGGTAGATAGCTCCAACTTTCCTGGTTTGGGCCACTGTTAGATGGAGAGGCTATTATTTTGAAAGAGGGAGGCAGGGAGTGCTTGGTTGGGTAAGGGGCTCATGGAGAAATGAGATTACAGAAGTCGGTATATGCAAATGTCTTCCTTGCCATTGAGGAAGGTAGGGATGAAATGAAGGCTTAGACATAGTGGAAACTGCTGCGGCGGGGGACAGGTCAGAGCTGATCCAGCATGAGCGAGAATCAGAGCCTTGAACACTGAAGGGCTCGCCAAGAACAGCACTCGGCGTCGCTGTCTTGCTTACAACCCCGCTCCCCAGTGAGGTCAGAGCTGTGAAGAGCCCATCTTGAAGACAAAGGAACAGGTGCACAGAGGCGAAGTGCCCTGCCACACAACAGCTGTGTGACCATGGGCACTTGCTCTACCTCTCCTCATCGATTCAGTGGCAGTCAGAGGAGATGAGCGTGGAGTGTGTGTGGAGTGCTTGGCCCTAGATAGTGGGTGGTGACTGGCGACAGCTGTGCCTGCCTTGGCTGCCATTGTCCTAACTCCTGGATAGACACAGCCCAAACAAGGGGCTGATGGTTTAAAAAAAAACAAAAAAGGTCAAACCTGTGGCCTCAGTGCTGGGAGAGCAGAGGTGAGGACAGGTAGACGTGGAGCTGACAGTCTAAGGGAGGGGCCCACCATCTGACTTCCCCAACTATGGCAAGGGAGGGAGCTGTGAGAGACTTTGGGTGAGTCACTTTACACCTCCAGGCCTCTATTTCCTCACCTGTTTAATCAGGCAGATCAGCACAAGCCCTGAAGGGCTGTATTACACAAGGAGCACAAAGCCCTTGACAAAGGCCCAGGAGATGGCAGTGTTTACTACAATCACCATCATTAATGTAGTTACCAACACTATCAGAAATAGGCATGTGGATTCCTCCACTTTGACCAAAGGGCAGCTCTGAGGATAAGTTTCCCTTGTAGTATCTCCCTTAAAGAACTGGCTTATGAGGCCGGGCGTGGTGGCTCATGCCTGTAATCCTAGCACTCTGGGAGGCCGAGGCAGGTGGATTGCTCAAGGTCAGGAGTTGGAAACCAGCCTGAGCAAGAGCGAGACCCCGTCTCTACTATAAATAGAAAGAAATTAATTGGCCAACTAAAAATATGTAGAAAAAATTAGCCGGCCATGGTGGCACATGCCTGTAGTCTCAGCTACTCAGGAGGCTGAGGCAGAAGGATTGCTTGAGCCCAGGAGTTTGAGGTTGCTGTGAGCTAGGCTGATGCCACGGCACTCTAGCCTGGGCAACAGAGTGAGACTCTGTCTCAAAAAAAAAAAAAAAGAAAGAAAGAAAGAAAGAACTGGCTTACGTGTAGAGGCACATACAAGGATTTCTTTGTGCATTGCCAAGCATTAAGTGTTCTGGTTACCTTTGCTACATAACAAGTTACCCCAAACCTAATGGCATAGAACAACCATTTTATTCTGGTTGTTGATTCTCTATGCCAGCATCAGAAATAGCATGGCAAGTACACTTGTCTCTTCTCTATAAGTCTGCGGTCTCAGCTGGAAAGAATCAAGGACTGGCAGTGATAGGACTTCAGAGGGATGAAATGACCTGAAAGTAGTTCACGCGCCTAGATGAGGCCACGGCAGAGCCCCTGTGTATGTCCTTTCCAGGTGACCTCTCCAGCTGCCCTACAGCCCCAGGGTAGTCAGCCTCCTTACAGGGTGGCTCCGAGCTCCAGGGAAGAGTGCTTCAGCTACTCTGAGGCTGCATCCCCTTGTAAGACCTAGCCTTGGAAGTTACCTGGTAACTCTTCCGCTGAATTTGATTGGTTACAAGCAAGCCAAAAGTCTAAGGAGCAGCTTCAGGTTGAAGGAAGGGAGTGTCAATGTTCTGGAAGAGGATGAGGGACAGGAGATATTGGTAGGGCTTTCAGAAAATAGAGTCTGCCACAGCAGAGAAACAGTTTCATCCACTATTACACTACAGTTAAAAAGAACAGTTTTATTACTGAAGGTTATGTCCTGGGGTTCTGTCTACTTTGATACATATAGATCTAGTTCATTTCTGTTAAATTCTGTGAGTTGTTCAGTCGTATGCATATGCTACATTTTCTTTGGCCATTTTCCTAGTGATGTTCAGGTATTTTCAGTGTTTTGTCAGCATCCTAGTGCATGTCTCTCTGCCATGACAAATGAGAGAATCTCTTTAGGATACTTACCATGGGCAGAATCATTGGATGAGAGGAAACATGTTAATCACTTCTGCCTGATTGCTCTCCAAAGAAGTTATACCAAATTATCCTTACACCAACAGTGTTTGAAAATTTCCATTTCCCTAGTATCTTCACTGACACTTGATCCTGTCTTTATTTATTTATTTATTTATTTATTTTTGAGACAGAGTCTCACTTTGTTCCCCAGGCTAGAGTGAGTGCCATGACATCAGCCTAGCTCACAGCAACCTCAAACTCCTGGGCTCAAGCAATCCTCCTACCTCAGCCTCCCGAGTAGCTGGGACTACAGGCATGCACCACCATGCCCGGCTAATTTTTTCTATATATATTAGTTGGCCAATTAACTTCTTTCTATTTATAGTAGAGACGGGGTCTTGCTCTTGCTCAGGCTGGTTTCGAAGCCCTGACCTCAAGCAATCCTCCCGCCTCGGCCTCCCAGAGTGCTAGGATTACAGGCATGAGCCACTCCGCCTGGCCGATCCCGGCATACTTTAAACTGATTATTTGATAAGTGAATGGAAGAGTATATCCAGTTGATTTATTTCACATTTACTTGGTTACTAGAGAAGCTGTGCATATTTTCATTTTATTGGCCATTTGGACTTTACTACTGTAAATTACTTGTATACACCATTCATTTTTCTATTGGATTGTATTTTTAAAATTGATTTGTAGTCATTTGTAAATATGGATACTTAATACACTACCTATTATATATATGACCAATATTTTCTCCCATACTATTGCTTATTTTTTAAAATTAATGATTTATCACTATAATTTTTATTTCTAATAGGTTTGTATCTATTCATCTTTTGTTTTGCCCCTTTCATTCTTAAGAACACCTTCTGTGTTCCATCAGCACAGATACTTGTTCATAGTTTCTAAGTTCTGGGTTTTTTGTTTTTTCATATTTAGCTGTTAAATCCATCAGTTTATATTTGCACATTCTAGGATCTCATTTTTTTCCCACAGTTTCACAGTACTAGTTACTGAAGTCTCTTGCTTTCCTCAATGATTAGTGATGCCAACCAGTCATAATCTGTCACATTCCCACATATGCAGGGGTGTTTTCCTGGGCTCTGTTCTGCTCTCTTGCTACTTCCATGTCAGTGTAACTTAATCGCCACAGCTTTCCAGTACACCTCGGTATCTGAGAGGGCGAGTGCCCTCTTTTTTCTTTTGCAAAAAAAAAAAAAACTCTTATATCTTCAGTCTTCCAATACAAATTATAGAATTAGTATATCAAGTTCCTCAGAAAATATATGTTGGAATGTTAACTCAAAGTAGTAGACTGACTTACAGATTAATTTGGCAATTTTCGCAGCTATGAATCAATTTTACCTCTCCATTTATTCAAGAATTGTTTTATATACTTTGATTAATTTCTCTATGAAGGTCTTGCATATTTTTATTAGGTTTATTCCTTTGTACTTTGTAGTTTTTGTTTTGTGAAGTGGATCATTTTTTAAATATTTGCATATTTTCATTAGTTATCACTAGTAGATAGAAATGGTGTTTGATCCTCGTATATTGATCTTGTGTCCATCAACCTTGTATAACTGTTGGTTCTCTGGCATTTGCATCGCAAATGATCATATTATTTGCTAAGAATGGCAGTTTTGTGTCTCTGATCTTATTGGTATCTTCTCTGACTGCATAGCAAGGAGCTTCAGGACACTGTAGAACAATAATAGGTCTACATCCCTCCCTTGGTCCTGAGCATGAGTGAATATTTACTGAGTACCTACCATATGCCAGGTTCTATTGTAGCTTCTGGAGACAGTGAACAAAGCAAAGTCCCTAGCCTCCTGGAGCTCAATAACTAAATACAGTAATCAATAACCAATAGCAGTAAGAACAGGATAGTGTGTGCTGCATGGCAGGGCATGTGTTGCTGTCATACGTAGGGTGGTCAGGGAAGGCCTCCCTCTTAAGGTGACGTTAAGGAAACCTGAAGGGAAGGAAGTCTATAGAGATCTGGGGAGAACCTTCTAGGCAGAGGGAACAGCAGGGCAGAGAACTGTGGTGGGCAAGTGCCTGACATGCTCAGGGCCTAGAGAAATCAGCCAGTGGGCTGTAACTGTGAGCCCAGAGGAGAGAAATGGGAGATGAAGTCAGAATGGGGGCTTCCCAGATCACAGGGGGCTTCAGAGGCCATTATAAAAGGTGTGGTTTTACTCCAAGAAGAGAACTCACTGGAGAGTTTTGAGTGCTATAATTTGATATTTTTTAAAGGATTAACCTGGCTTCTCTATTCGGATATGACTGGGTGGAAGGTGGTATGTATACAAATGGAAGTTGGGAAATGAGTTAAGAGGATGTGACAATCTGGTTGAGAGAATAGAGATGACAGTGGAGACTTCAAGGGAGGGATCAGATTCTGGATCTACTTTGAAGGTAGAGCAGGATTTCCTGACAGATTGGATATGAGGCAGGAGTGAAAGAGTTTTAAAAATGTTTTGGACTCTAAGTAAAAGGAAAGGATGGCCTTGCCACTGAAATGGGGAAGCTTACAGGAAATGTAGATATTGGGGGAAAGTCTGGAGTCTGGTTTTGAACATGTTTAACTGGATATGCTTTATTAGACATAAGAGAAGTCAAGCAGGTAGATGGATATATGATGGATAGGTCCACTTTGAAGATAGTATTTGGGAGTCATCAGAGTAAAGATGAAGGTGAAAAATGAGATGAGAGCCAGGCGTAGTAGCTCATGCCTATAGTCCCAGCTACTTGCCTAGAGTTCCTAGGCAAGTACTACTCGGAAGGCTGAGGATCACTTGAGCCTAGGAGTTCAAGGCAGCAGTTGAGCTATTATCACACCATTGCACTCTAACCTGGGTGACAGAGTAAGACCTTGTCTCAGGAAAAAAAAGGAGAAACAAGAATGCTTGAGGAGTAGAGAAGACCAGCAATTGAGTACTGAGCCCTGAGACACCAGTACTTAACACTGGGAAGGAATTAAGAGCAGGATCAAGGGAAAGGCAATTGGAAGCCAACTAAAAGTTTTCAGGAAGAGAGAAGAATCCACTGTGTGGAAGACAGTCAGTGGGCACACCAAGCCAGATATGGAAATGCAGGTTGTTAGAGACCTCAAGGAGCCATTTTGGTGGAATGGTGATGGTAGGGCAGGGATGGGGCGGCCTGATGGAAGGAGACAGGAGGGAAGTAATTGGAGACTGCAAATGTAGACCACTCCAGGGACAAACTTTTCTCCATTCAGGGAGCAAAGAAATGGAGGGATACAGAGCCAAAAGGGAGAGGGTGTATGTGTGTTTTAATGGAGCAATACAGGCATGTTTATATGTTGTTGGGAATGACCTTGTTAGAGAAGAAGCATTCATTATGCAGGATAGAAAAGCAGCAACTGTTGGGCTTGTTCCTAGGTGAGTGAGGAGGAGTGGAATTAGTGCCCAAGTGGAGAAAGGATAGCTCTCCACAATGACAGGAGGAAGGCCAAGTTTGAGGAGAGGCGTGGCTGGTGGCTGCAGAGATCGCCTCAGGGTGAGGAGGATGAGAGGGTTTGCAGAGAGCAGATCTGAAATAGTCATCCCACTCATCAGCTCCAACAGCCGATGGGACTGGAATGGGGGAGGGGTGTGTTCATCCAGAAGATGAGTGTATTGTTGTGTTTCCAATGTAATTGTGTTGCTATTTAGGGAATATGTCTATCACACCACTTTCTATAAAATAATGAGTTTGTCCATTTCTCCTTAGAATTCTGTCAAATTTTGCTTTATATATTTTGAAGTTATATTAGATGCATGAAATTTAGAATGTACTATTCCTGGTGAATGTTTAGTGAGCCACTCTATTTTTCAGAATGTATATTTGTGTTTGCCCGAGAGTCTTATTTTATGTTAATGATTATTGTGTAGCAGCTTTCCTTTGGTTTGTCTGGTATATCTGTTTGCTTTTTACTTTTAACCTTTCCCTGTCCTTATTAATCATGCCTCTTATAATCAGCATATATTCTTAGGTTTTGTGTTTTATCCAGTCTCTTGACTTATTTCAGAATTAGACAATGTAGTCATTTACATTGTGATTTCTATATTTGGGTTTATTACTAACATGTTGAAGTATTTTCGTACTTTTTAGAGGTACCTTGTCTTCCTCTCTTCTTACCTTGTTTTGGGATTAACACATTCACATCTCTATTTCCACCCTTTCTGGTTTTAAGGCTATATTAATTGAAATTAGGTTTGCTGATGAATAATATTAAAAGATAAGAAAAAGTGGCTTGAACAAGATGTTTATTTTATTCAAGTTCAAGAATATCTGAGATGGTGATGCTAGAGCACCAAGCTTTGTTTTCTTGAGGTTTGATGTCATAATTGGCTTCCATTCCCAAGATCTGCTCATCTTTCAAAGTACTGCTGGATTCCAGCATCCCAAATGTGGTCCAGACAGCAAAAGGAACCAATAGGAAAGGAGAACGAACTGGCCCGTCCACCACTTCTGCTTCCACCGTCTCGGGACAGAATTGAGACATATAGCTTTGTATATTTTGCCGCAGGGAAGTCTAGGAAATGCTTGATTCCAGGCTGCCCTGTGCCCAGTTAAAAATCGAAAGCCCACACAGATTACTGACGTTCAGAAACCTGTGCTGTGCTTGGCAGGCAGAGTGTGCATATTAGGGACATTTGACATAGTACTA